TCGGGTTCCTGCCGTGGAAAGACTCAAGCGTCGATCGCGTCGGAGACACCGAAATAGCTACGACCACACGAGACACATCTGTCGGTCGATCTTGGAAATTGTCCAGGTTGACATTGACGAAGGTAAAGAAAATATCCGTGCGAGTGACAGCCGCGGTGTGAAAGTTGGACGGACCAAGGTTTTCCTACAGGAAGAGATGGTGAGTCATGAGAGGGCCGTGGAAAAGAGTTTCAACGGTAGGGGGGAGGGGTGAGCATAGTTCGATGATTTTCACATGCGAGGGGAGGGGAGACATGCATCCTTATAAGGACAGCTCTTACCCACGTCCTTTACGCCCTTTTTCCGTGTCCCGTTTCTCTTGCTTAACTTTCCTGTGATATAAGCTCCCATGACAACCTAGCCTGTACTAATAAGAGCCTACCATCAAAACACCAACAGACATGCAACTCGTTTTCTAACTAGTATAGTTTGCATTGTCATTTTTAGATGGAAAGGTTGGAGCAAGTACGAAACAGATGTCTCACCAAATCAGTGCTGATAATCCAGAAGTGCTGGAGGCGTCATAAAAGGAGACTTGAACAGAGAAGGATGACTGCGGCTGTTTTTATCCAATCAGGTGAAATACCTATCTTTTTTTTTTTTTTTTCTGTAAAGGGAGCTGATTGGAAGGCAAAGAGAACTATTTGCTAGTACGCCGCACGTAAGTCTCTAGTTTAGTCCAAATCCGTAACCCACTGAGCACTAGCTCTATGGTGTAGCCACCATGTTACAGAAGAAATTGTTTAGAATGCATTGGGTAGAAATCAATGCATGACCTTAGGAGCGATAAACCTGAAGTCCCATCAGTGCTTTGCAAAGGTTTTTTTTTTTTTTAAACTAATATGTTATATCATAAAGAAACACGGCGGTCTGTTTATCAGAAAGCGAACTACTGCAGAAAAAAATCTATGGATATTTTCCTTTCCTCTTAAGCTTGGAGAGGATGGAGAGCCAAGATGAATTTCCGGAGAATTCAAGAAGCAATCAGAGTCATACAACGCCGTGTTAGACGCCATTTCGAAGTAAAACACCTCAAACAAGAGGGCCGAAGCATTCTTAACTCAAACAGCGACATTTCCACCCAGGATTTTGACCCGAGATCCTTTCTGAAGGCGGGCTCAGCTCTGAAGGCGGAAAGTATTTGTGCTTCACCATCGTCCCCGTCTTTTTCACTCCTCGAAACTCCAAGTCGCCTTTCTGGTTTTGCTTCAAGTTTAGCCTCATGCGGGATGTCGTCTTGGTTCGACGAGTTTACGCCGCAAAACAACTGGTTGTCGCCTTCCAAAAGTCAAATGACAATTAATTCAAGCAGAGGTCATCTAAGCCCTCTTGGTCTGTTGATGGGCTTCGGATGGGGAAACTCTCAAACAAGAGTACAGTTTGCCGCGGTCGGAAAGCGCTTTGCCATACAGTTAGTCAATAAATCTTCCACTATTATATCGCGGCGAGACATTGAAAAGGTGAGCAGTTTTTATAAAACGTGTTTCAGTCAGTATCAGTGGCTGTTCACTCAGGCGCACCGTTTGGGCTCTGAATATACGCAGATATGTTTCTAATTCATGAAGCCTTCCTTTTGGTTAGAGCTAACCAAAGTTAAAGCTTTTTTGGGAAAACGCTTCCAAAAAAACTTACTGGGAGGGAGCCTCTTAGTTTATGAGTAGTTTTGAAACTGATAAGGGAAAAGAGTTCAGAGACTTGGTGGTGAGATCAGACAATACATAATTAACGCATGAGGAAAGAAAACTTTGCTTGCTTTTCCTATTCTTGAATAAATTTAGAGGCCTCGGAGCGTTTTTTAGTTTGTGGGGGCTTATCACACAACAAGTCAAACACATACCCTCTCAAGTTTTCCAAAATAGCTTCTGCAAAGTTTGTTGATACAAGAAAACCTCTTTTCAATCTTTTTATGGTTCACTGTGTCTTTCAACATATTAGGGACTTTAAGGAGTCAGGACGAGTCGAAGACGTCGATTGAAAAACGAGTTTCTACTTCTAGTTAGAATTTCCAAAATGGCTGCATGAGTTTACCGTCTCAAAGGGCGCCAGACCTCACACTCAACATAGCGCATAAAAGTAGCGTTGAGTTCCAAACGTAAATTAAAATAATTTGCCGCCGCGGTTTCGCTTCGCAGACGACGCAAATTTTGGTGATTTCACGTTGTTGTTTTGCAAAGGATGGCTAAGAAATGTACAAAGTTTTAAAATGCACGTGCTGGGCTATTGTTCTGCCAATTAGATCTATTGTTTTACCACGTTCTCGTTGCCGTAGCCGTCGTGGTTTGCTTAAACACGAAGGCGCGCTATAAAAAGAGCCTCTGGTCCCACTGGACCATTCGTCAATCAACCGTCGTGTGATGTGGAACTCTTAGAGTCAAGTCAGCTTGAGCTACAGCTACTCCAAAGCAGTGAACAGCGGGCGCATTCCTCAAAATTGTTTTATGTCTTCATCACAATACAAGAA